ACACTCGACATCGTCATAGTTTTCGTTTAGCTGTGAGGAGCTCCTAATTTTATGCCGTCGGGTTACTGGACCTTACGTAACTACAGATTCAAATGCTAAGATTAGTCAATGGTGCAAACTAACCAGGATCGCATACTTAGTTCCCGGGCGTATAGATTTACGTAAAATTACTACTTATATATATATATATATATATATTTACTTAAAAGATAAAAGTGAAGGAAGTAGAATATTTTTATATTATGTAGATATAAAAAGCAATTTAATGGAAAACGAAATTCGTGAGACAAAATTAAATATTACATCGTATCTCATTCATTTGCAATGATTTCATGTATGTTTTTAAAAAATGATTAATCTAGTTTTTTGTATTTCAAATGTGGATCAATATATATAAGTTTCATTAATAAAATAATATAATGTAATTTTTTTTTTTACCTTGAATAAATCTTTAACGGTAAATCTATTTTTCACATGATGCAATTTCCATGATTAAAAATGTATTCCATAAGTGATTCTTCGTTATTATTAAATTCTTTAAAAAGTGCTGTAACGCAAAATTATTATTATATTTTTTTATCACAGTGTATGAAATGGAGAATAAAAATTTTTTAACAAAAATATAATATTTTAAAACAAAGATATAATATTTAAATTGAAATATAATTTTTTTCTTATTGGTTTAATTAATTATATAAGTCATTGATATATTCTTTAGTTGTATTACACATAAGGATAATATTATGTTTAATGAATAAGAAAAACAAATTATGAATATCTGTTCAAATTCTAAATAATACTAAATAATAAATGATTATATAAATTAGATAGAATTATTAATAAAACGTAATGAATAAAAATATACATAGAACATGATATTTAATATATATAGTTATTCGAAGCATAAGCGTAAAATATAATGTAGAATAATCAAATGCGAAAAAAAATTTTAAATCGATATCTCAATCATATTATTATTTGTGGCTTATTGTTATTATATATTGCTAATAAGTAAAGAAAGTAAAGACATGGAATAACAAAAATAATAAATATTATATAACAAGAAATTATGTAAATTTAATTCAACATTTATTGTTTCAGCAAGAGAACGTTTTCCTTCGTCGAGTAGTACTGATGATGATCAAAGCGGCTCTGATACGGAACATGACTCGAACGCATTGCGCTCTAAGGTTCACTCTGGAATAGTTCATCATTCTGGTACTCATTCGGTGCGAAAACGTCGGGGAAATTTACCAAAGCATTCGGTGAAGATTCTAAAACGATGGCTTTACGAGCACAGATACAACGCGTATCCAAGCGACAGCGAAAAGCTGACATTGAGTCAAGAAGCAAATTTGACTGTACTCCAGGTTGATACAAATTCTGCTAATATTATTTCTATTGTATTTCGTATCTCTTTATATTTTATTCTCTTTTCTAAGATATCTATAATAAAGATTATCGTTATACATCGTATTAAATTTTTATTGTAGGTTTGCAATTGGTTTATAAATGCCAGACGACGAATTTTACCAGAAATGATTCGAAGAGAAGGTCATGATCCTTTGCAATATACAATATCTCGTCGTGGTAAAAAGATGCCTGCAGGAAATCATCAACAATCATCCAGTCTTAATTCAAGATCTAATCAAAATTGGGATTCGTTAGCTGGCATGAGCGCTCCAAAACGTAGTAGAGATCATGATTATGAAGATCATGCTGGATTAATGTATAGGTTTGTTACAATTTATATTTTAAGAATATATTATATCGTTATATTTGTATTATAACAATTGAACAACAAACATACTTCTGAAAAAGTATTTCATATTTCATTCTATATATATATATATTTGATATATGTATTTTTATATATGTATTTGTGTGTATATATAGAAGCGAAGAGGACAGTCCAAACGATTATGAAAGCAGTTCTCATAGTGAAGAGGAACGTCCGTCAACACAGTGGCCAAGTGTAATAGTCTATCCTTATTCGGAAGCTA